GTAAGGTAGTAACCTAAAGTTGTTTCAGCCATTGAAATTATCACAAATTGCCAGTAAGTAGTGTTTGATTTGAGAATTTCCTACAAAGTCTTTGATTCTAATACTGTCAACTGTCAAGCAGTTTACACTTTCATACACTTTACTTCAATGCCCATAACAGACCTGTACACAGAAGGGGAGTGGGCCTTCCAATGTATCTATCACATATCAGTGCTGCTCTCTGGTCAACAGTTCTGCTTCAGTATCTGAACCACTTATGTCTGAAGGCAGCATACTTGTGTAAATATTTCAATATTTTACTGCCACCTGCAAATTTTTTTAAATGACTGCCATACAGAAAAATGAAAGCACTGATACCAACCATAAAAAGCACAGCCATCACTAACTTAGTACAACTGAGAGATGGAAAACATCTGATGCTCTAAAACTAGTTGTTCATAACCGAATGACCAAGCATTTACTAATAAAGCAGAGAAAATAAAGACCATGTACGAAATGCATGTGTCAAAGCATCCAACTATAAGTTAAAGTCTACTTAGCTTATAATAGTCTTAGTTCCCTGGGAATGAAACTCCTTACATGATTATTCCTTGGCTTAGCACACCTGTACAGGGATGCGTTATTTCAAAAGTAGGATGTATTATTTCAAAAATACGTTTGCTCTTCCAAAATCAGTCCACAAAAATCTACAAACACACAACACTACACCACAAGTTCCCCTAGATAATATTTTTGGATTATGTCAGCATGTAGAAATATACATATATTCAACAGTGGTTAAGGATTGAATTACAAATTACAAGTTTATAGCTCTGCAAACATTTATTTATCATAAAGTTTGAAGCAATAAGAATTAAAAACCCAACATCAGCAGGGCTTCATCTGGCTCCTGATCTAGTTAGGTTCCAAAACAGTTTTTTGGAAGTTTGGGGTTGATATTTCTTAAGAGCTACACACCAACACGTGTTAGGCTTCCTCCCCTTACCCAGATCCAGAAACCTTCCAGCATTGAAGGACCTCCTGTTTCAGAACAAGTCTGGACATGTCACTCAGGGCAAATCAATCCTCCTCCTAATGAAAACATTACTTCTACAAAATTTGTTTTGCCCCACTGGGCAAAACAGCTCCAGTGGAGTACAAAAGATGCTACACTTACAAGGTAACATTTAGAGAATCCCTCGCAACAGTTGAAGTGCTTTCTTGAAAACATTAGACTAACAATTTTAAAAGCTACACAATTTATGGGCCACTTTCTTGGTGAGCAATGGAGAGTGATTTTGGCACTTTCACAAATCCCACAGCTCCTTCCAGTCCAGTGGGCAAGGAGCACATCCATTTAAAGGGCCACACCAAAGCCTGTAAAGAATAAATGAATTCCCCAAACTCAATGGAGTCCAAGAATCTACCCCAACATTCTTACTCTCTATCATCCTTTACCTGCTCTCTGCTGGACTGCTGCCCTAGGATAACCATCTTTCCTGTTCCTTCCCAAAACACTATCTGATCAAAACTCCTACTCCCAGGGAGCCCCAACCCCAGCAAACTTTCAATGGCTCCTCAATGCTCAAAGAATGATCTCCCTCCTCAAATCATGGGCAAACAGCCTCTCTCCAAGATGCCCTATACTCCCTAAACCTCCTGCCACTCCCAAAGGTCACTCTCGGCCCTTCTGCCACACACACAGTGGCAGGCAGGGTCAAGATGCTCAGCATCGCTTGAGAGTAAGCTCTAACTCCAGACACTGTATCCACGGTGTTCTAAACTCCTGAACTTCCTCTCTCACTCTCTACAGAACCTTCCCAGATGCAGGGTTTTCCTTCCCCAGGGCAAGACATTTTGGAACACCAGCCACTGAATGCTCACAAAATAAAAAATAACAGTAGTTACCCCAAGGAAAAAAATAATGGTCAAATTATTAAAAATAATAAAACCCTATGTAATATAAAGGAATTTTGAGTTATTATCTTTGGTTTTTATTTCTAAACTTATCACCTCCTCCTTTTGATGAAAATAATTAAAATTCACTACATTTACCCAGTATGCACAATATCATCCTATAGACACTTTTATAAGCATGTGGTATTATGAATAAAACCTTAAAAGCAGAAATTCACAATTTTAAGTTTTAATTTGTATGAATGTCCTTTTCTATGAGCCCTCAAAAACCTACAGCAAAAATAAATTTCCCTAAATAGAATATATCCTGTTTTGACTCCTTTTTAAAGATAAAGGTGTATATACTGTTCAACTATTCCCAGACAATTTACTATTTTTTTTCAGAGACAGAAGAAATTATAAACTATCAAACTATTGTCCAAAAAAAGCCATTTTCATGAACATTATCAAAACTCAAAAAAACTTCTTCTGTTAATTCACTTCACATATAGGCTTCTCAAAATAAGCTATAACTATCGCTATAAAATGAAAATTTCAAAGAAAAAAACGAAATATTGGGACTATGGGTTGTTTAGATTACAGGTGTTTTACCTGAAACTGCTTTAAGAAGGAAAAAAGCTTCTTTATAAATAATTAGTCACAAATACTTTCCAAACTCTGCCACACTGATGATGTTTGGTAGCAGTATACACATACTAGAGTGCTGGCAATCTAATCCCAAAACCACCAAAACAAAAGTCCTAAATAAGCTCCTATGCATAATAGATGGTTCTAGAAATGACATATTTGAAGGAAGAAAATTGAGATGTTAACTGTTTCTACTATCTCCACCACTTTAACTTCACAGTTCATAAACAATAAAGAACTTCTTGTGATAGTGAGAAAACAAATATGAAGCAATCAGGAAAATGTCAACAGTGAATATTTGATACTAAGGAATTAATTTTTTTAGGTGTGAGAATAGCATAGTGATTATCTAAAAAACAAAATGGATACATACTTAAGTGTTCATGGGTGAAAAGTTTAAGATAATGGAGGGGAGAAAGACCGCAAATACCAGATTAGTCATGTGCTGGTAACTTGTTAAACTGAGTGAGTAATCTATACTCTTTCCTGGTATATGTTGAAATTTTCCAAAATAATAAAATAAAGCTGCTGGTGAATAAAATCTCAGGCACTATTTTGCTCATGATTGTATGCCACTTTTGCACAGATTCCTTAATTCCTTCAGTTTGCATAGTTTGAGAATTTCTCCTCATCTGTACAAACTTTTGTAGTCAGAGAGCAGTGTAAACTGCCAGTATCCCAAATACTTCCCAAATGCAGTGCTCAGCAAACTTCAAAAGCTCAGGAGAAAGGGGGGATAGAACCAAAGAGGAAATGAGGAGCGGTAAAACTTAACAACGAACCTGCTACCATAAAGAACTCCCACCTCTTAAAACTAATTAATACGCATTTGGGCTTCATTCTTTCTTTTCCTTAGAGTTTTAAGAACAGACTGTTGGCTGCTGGTTTATTCACTGCCCTTCACATGCATGCTGACCCCAGAAGATACAAACAATCCAACCACTGTGTAACCAGGTCGAAAACAAGCTTTGGGTAACTCACTGGGAAGAGTACACTCACCACTTAGATTTGGCTAGAAAAAACTGGGTTAGAAAAAACTGCTGCTTAAACAAACACTAGGGCTGGGGAGAATGTCTTTAAGCCAGTTACCAGGCCACTCAGTGAGTTGCAACACAATCTTTTCCAAAGGCTTCCAAATTCGGTTGAGCCCAGCAGGCTGATTTAACAGATTTTTCAAATTCAAAAAGCTGACCTAAACAGTTACACAACAAAACACAAGCTAATTTACTTGGGATCACCTACAACGTCAGACCACTGATCAGTATACAGCCCAGGCCAGGAGAAGTGGGAGAGGCATACCAAGTGAGGAATAAACCCTACTCATGAAGCAGAAGAGAAATGACAGGATCCACACTTAATTTGGCCTAAGAAAATGTCTACAGTCAGCTTCCAATCACCCGCCTTCCATCTTTAATGAAACAATGGCAATTCTTCATGGTGAACCACAATGCCCCGCTTCATAAGGTATTTTTTCTATCCCGACCTTGTTTGTACCCACTCTAACTGCTAGAAAACACCCCCAGTACAGAAAACTTTTAGAAAATGTTTGGTAGTAAGAAACGAATCATGACATGGGGAATTTAACATTGTATTTCAAATGTTCAATGCCTGTGCCTCCATTACCTAGATCTCCTTTATAACCTCTAGAATGTGCACTGGATAAAGTGAACGGCACTGTTAGTCACATCAGGTGTCAGCTACTCAGGATAGACTCATAGTCTCCAGATTTGTTAGTTCCGCTAGCGGCTGGGTCAGGGACTGGTGGAGTTGTTAGGAAAAGGGAGAAAGGCCTGACCTGGCTGTGAAAGCTGGGCATCCTCTTTACTGCTCATACTCCCTCAGTTCTGTTTCAATTACACACCTGTCAAACAGGTTATTCCTGGAATTCAGATTTTATAATCCTCATACTGCAATTCTTCCTGCTCCTGTTGCCCAAACACACACCCTTCCCTTCTTTTCCAAAATATGTATCTATCAGTAGAATGTATAAGAGTTATAAAGTGTCACAAATTGCACCTTGAGCCCTCCGCAAGCATACAAAAGAGGAAACAATGACAATTTTCAAGAAGGTCACGGTAGTGGGCTAGGGTAACCACAGACAAAGCCTGCCTATTCTGAATTTTAATTCACACACACACACACACACACACACACACACACACAAAGGAAGCCAGATTTGGAAAGAACAAAAAAAATGAAGGCTGTCTTATGAAAAAAAAAATTGTCTTCCCATTTTATGATAGTGCATGCCTAAGAGTGTAGCTTATTTCCTTATCTCAAAGCCAGGAAATGAGGTCTTTTAAGGCCAGTATGAATATAAGCTCTGTTTAAAAACAGAGGACCTGCAAGGAAAAGCCCCTTTCCCAACTTTGGCCAAGTGGCGTGGCCTGCGGTCAGCAGAGCGTTCACCACCAGACTGGTCCTCGACAAGAAGTTTCAGCATGCCACGGGAAACAAAGAAGGTGCCTCACACCGACCTTATAGACTTGTCCGTAGGTGCCATTTCCAACCACTTCCACCAGCTCAAAAATCCCAGCAGGGTCCTAGACAAGAAAGAGGGGAAGGTTATTCTACGGAAGCAGCACACAATGAATCAATAAAGTAGAACAGCTGGGGAGAAAGGGAGGCTTCAATGAAGTGGGTTCCGTCGCCGCGGTCGTCCAGCACCGAGGGCCGGGCGCGGTCTCAGAGGGCGGCGGCAATGGGTAGCGCCCCAGCCCCGCACACGCGGACACATACAAACAAAAGGGCCGCCGCACTGGCGGCGGCGCCCGAACGCCGGACTGCCCAGGGCGCGGCCCCCGCTCCCCGCGGCCGGCCCGCGGCGGGCACTCACCCGTAAGGAGGAGAGGTCGATGTCCACCAGACTTTTTGCAGGGGAGTCGTTCGCCATTTTCCCTTTTTGCCGCCCAAAGCGAGTGTCACGATGAAGACAGCGAAGGCTGGGTGATCTCGTCACAGGCCGGGCTGCGACGGGAGGAGCGTGCGCGGGGCGGCAGCGGCTCTCACACCATGGCGTCCCGCAGCAACCCCCGCGTCGCCCGGCCTCAGCCCCGCGCCCGCGCCCGCGCCCGCGCCTGCTCACGGGCCGGTAGCTGGGGGCGCCGCGCCGCCGACAGTGGAGCGAGGGCGCGCGAGGCCGCGAGACAAAGCTCCCCGGGCGGTGAGGGCGGAGCAGGGAGGAGGGCGGAGGAGACGGGTGGCGCAGGAGGAGGGGACACGGGACACCAAAAACATATTCCGCCGAGAGAGAAAACAGCTCCCCCTTTCTTGCTCCTGCAGGAAGGACGGGCGGAAACGCACTCCCACCATAACCCCGCCTGGAGGGCGCGGGGCGGCTGCCCGCGTGGCGTGAATGTGCATGAGGGGTGCGGCCGAACAATGGCCGCCAGACGCCCTGCACCGCGCCCTCCCGAGAAGTCGGATACGCAGAACACGGCCCGCGTGGCCCTGCTGCTGTGCTGGGCGCAAAAGGACGTCCTCACCTCTCACTAACAGGGACCCAAATGCCGAGAGGCAGCAGACCCTTTACTCATGTCAGAGAGAGGCTGCGTGTTGCTGGACCTCTAAAGGGATGCGAAAGGGGTGCCCCAAGCGGTGGAGTGTCCTCTCTCCTCACTCCAACTTACTCCCACCCCCTCCCGCCCCACCAGGTTCTCTGCCCTGAAGGCCCTCATCTCTCATTTCCCTACACGGTTTTCTTGTCCCTTCTCTGCTTTTCAAGTCCAAACTTCTGACCTGGCTGTAGTTGGTGGATTCGCTGAGCATCCCTTGGCTGCGGGGTCACAAAATTTTGGGTGGAAACAGTTTCCAAAACGACTCCTCTAATTGATTTGTGCTGGGTTTCCTTAGGTGAATAGTAAAGAACTTGGGGTCATCAGTATTGACCCAAGTTCTGTGCCTACAGATCATTCAGGATCAATAAACAGGCGTCTTCCAGCAACCTTGGAGGCTTGTCGATGGTTAGACAATTATTGACCTATTAACCAAGAATTTTTTTCCCATTAACCAAGAATTTTTTTCCTATTAACCAATTTTAATCCTAGTAACCAAAAATTTTTACTGAATGAAAACTTTCAATGGCTCCCTCTTACCTCACAAAAGGTTCTCAAACCTAAGCGCAGGGAATCACCAGGAGGTATTATAAGAGCACTGATTGCTGACCCCACCTCCAGTATCCGATTCAGCAGGTCGGGAATAGGCCTAATAACTTGTATTTCTAACAAGTTCTCAGAGGATGCTAAGCTAACATTGCTGTTACTGGGATCAAACTTTGAGACAGGATGTAAATTCAAGGCCCTTCATAATTAGGCTTCACAAACATCACCATCATCGTCTACCAATTGTTGCTTTGCATACAGTACTTCTGTTAGCCAGGAGTGATGATATCCTTATTTTAGAGATGAGGAAACCAGAGTGCTGAGGTAATATATGTGCCTAAATTTCTTTAAAGCACAGTCTGGATGGGGAGCAGCTCAGCGTATTCCCAAAATAAAAGTCTCTGATTCAGCCAAGTTAGTGTTTGACCTAGAATTTGGTTAGCAGTCTCCTGCCTCCCAACAGTTTGGTTTCCAAGATTTTCGACTGTGAGAATCCCTTAGGGATTCTCAGGTATCCCTAAGGTAAAATACAAAGTCTCCTGGAATCCATTGGCTAAGAAATTTATAATAACCAGAATGTTACTGTGAATTTAATAGTGCTTTAAATGATTTGTTTCTTAATCTATCGACAGTGATGGCATTATCTGTGAGTGTAAATTAAATAACTTACTAGACAGCTAGACTGATGCACATGTGAACTTTCAGACCAGATTACTAGTAATAGTATTTTAATAGTGTTTATTGTTTTGGATAGCTAATGTGTATTGGGTCCAGACAATGTATTATTTGATTTTTCTTCACATTAGCCCCAAGTAGTAGGTGCTCTTATTTTCCCCACTTTCCACATTAGGAAACCAGTGTCTAAAGAAGTTGAGTGACTTGCTTGGTGTGCATAGCTGAAACTGATGCACAAACTGCAGCCCCTACTCCACTCCCAGGATCACAGCCTCAACTCAACTCATTCTAAGCTCATTCATTAAGGCCTGCTTCAGACCATTTTCTTCTTTGTCTAGCCAATTCTCTCAATTACCTCAAGCTCAACTCAGAAACCATCTCTTTCTTCTCCTATAAACTTTCTCCAAATTTGTCTCCTATGCTAGTATTTCCCATATCATCACTGTGGCAGTTATTTCCCACTTTCAGTTCATTACCTTTTCTTGAAGTGCCTACCCAGTGCAAGGCACTGACTTAACCATTTTCCGAGATAGAAGGAAGATTAAGACATCCTACCTTCAGCACTTACAAGCTGATAATCGGTGTAAGATAATTTCATTAATAGCTACAACTAATTTATATAATAAATTAGAACATGATAAATTCTGGCTACACAAAAAGAGGTCCAATGGAAAGTATTCTGGGTTTAGGGAAAAAAATGAACTGGATTTGAACCTAGTTCTGTTGTCATTTGTGCAAGCTTACACATGTTGCTTAACTTCTGAGCCTTTGCTTTCTCACCTGTATGCTAGAAGACTGGAGGTAGGAAGGATAGTTCAGAAGCCATCTCAAGAGCCCTGACCTGTGTCTTAGTTGGTTGGGCATCATTCTGCAAAGTGAAAGGTCACCAGTTTGATTCCCAATCAGGGTACATACCTGGGTTGCAGTTTTGCTCCCATTCAGAGCACATGGAAAAGGCAACCAACTGATGTTTCTCTGGAACATCGATATTTCTCTCCCTCTCTTCCTCCCTCCCTTCCCCTCTCTGTAAAAATAAATATATAAAATCTTAAAAAAAAAAAAAAGGCCATCTCAAGAGCACAGGCAGAATAATCAGACCTGGTGACAGGAGATATAAGAGTTCTTGGGCCAGTAGACTCTCTTAAGACAGCTTCTGTCCTTGGGAACCTGTTCACATTTGGGAGGATGCTGTCATGGACAAGGGAAAGGTCATGAGAGGAATTGTCATTAGAGTTGCTGAGTGGTGGTAGCAAAGGAAGGTTTGGTTTTGGACTCTGTGCAAAGTTAGTTAATTGTTCACACAGAAGCAGCATACCCCTGCCCAGCATGCCACTCTACTCAAGTTCAAAGAATAGGGGCATGTTCTTAATCAACAGGCACACATTAGCTAGGCTGTCATGCAAATACCACAGATTAGGTGGCTTAAATAACAAAAATTTATTTTATCACAGTTGTGGAGACTGAAAGTCCATGATCAAGGTTCCACTTGATTTGGTTTCCAGTGAGAGATCTTTTCCTAACTTACAGATGGCTACCTTCTCGCTGTCCTCACATGGGCTTTCCTGAGTACTTGTACACAGACAGAGAAAAAATTCTCTCTATTGGATCAGGGTCCCACCCTTATGACCTTATGAATTTAAACTTAATTATTTCCTTACAGGCCACAGCTCTAAACACTGCCACACTGGTGTAACGGGGCACAGCCAGGGCCCCCACAAAGGGTATTTGTAATGGGGTTCAGAAAATGGGGTGTCCAAGAAAAAATATATTCTCCCCACCCCAGGGCGCGCTGCCAAGAGGGATCGGAGCCTTGAGCAGGGCCACTGAGAGTCACTTTGCATGTCAATAACAGGATAGCTTCATTCCTCATTTGCAAAAAGGGTTATTTTGCATATCACGAAAGCTAATCGGGAAGGTTAAAAAAGACTAAATACAGAATGTAACTGAGGGAGAAAGAGGAAAGACAGGGGCCTGCAGGAAAAACAAGGGACACAGACTCTGGGGAACAGTGTGAAGACCACGCGGGAAGAAAGAGTGGAGAAAGGACTCTAGCTAGTGGGCCAGGAGAAGGTGCCACATTGTTATGGATTAAGAGCTGGAGATCGCGGCGACGCAGTGGATGGTGCTGAGAACTGTGAGAGGCCTGCCTAGCTGAGCCCCGGACTTCTGTTCTTTTTCTTCTGAAGGACAGTAACCCTGACTGGCCTAACTGGGCAAAGCGGGGAAGGCCCCAGGGTGGTGTGTGTGCTGGTGATTGTTTTGAAGGGATTTCGAGGTTTAAGGGTGACATTTAGCCATTAATCAAACCTGTATAACTTTTGAATAAATAGTTCCTTTCCTTTTCACCAAACTCTGTCATTCAGAGCCATAATTCCAAGGGCGGCCGGCAAGGGACCCACAACCAAGGGATCCCAGGGAAGGAAGGTGTCGTTATTTCGGTAATAGCATCTGGGCATCCGCCTCACGACATGTCCTTTTGTTCGGTAACACTGGGGCTTAAGGTTTCAACATTACAGAGGCTTAGGGCTTCAACATACAGGGAAGCACCAATATTTAGTCCATAACAAGCCATGTGTAATATGTGATGCCAGGACATAGACTTCAGTCATGGCCCTTGTCCTCAAGTATCTATTTAAGAACACAAAATAAAACCATCCAAAAATATATTCGAAATAATAATTTGGAAAATAAATACAAATTTGGAATTTTAGGCTGGAGGAAAAAATAAGATACTTGAACAAAGAATGAGAGGCTAAAAGAATGAGGACACTGGCCACCCTGGGCCAGAGCACTCAATTCAGAGAACCCTGAGAGATAAAACTAGATGGTTTAGGAGGGACCAGAAGAAAAAACTGAGGCATGGGCAATGCGGGGGTTAAAAACCAAGCCCAGATTATCAGTCAAGTCAACTGAGAAACAACCTAGCCTCAGCTCTCAAGAGCTCATGGCAGGTGAGAGCTCCACAAGCCAAGGGACATAAATGTGCCTCTTTGCAGGGTAAATCAGCTGACACCCAGTCATAGAAACTCCAGGGGAGCCAAGTTACTCAAGAGGTCAAAATGGACAAGATCACTTTATGTATATCCTAGGTTTTTCTTTATTGTTAAAATATTGACGAAAATTTATTTTCAGCCTTAGAATGGAGCAAGGCAAGGAGGGTATCAGAGCTATGAAACTGAACCTGAATATATCTTAAGAGCTTAATATATCTGAAGGTCATAGATGATTTAGGTTAACTGGAAATAAATGATGGAAGTAGTGGTGAGCAGGGGGAATTAGATCAAGCAAAAGAAACAATGGTGGGATGTGTGCAGGAAAAACTCAGACAGGGAAAAGCACAGGCTTAAGGGATCTTAAGGGATCATAGAACTCAGAAATCTGAGTTCTTAATCTCTGATGGAC